GGGGATAGAAGGCAATGAAATACTTTGTTTTAAATTATAAAACTGAAGCCAGTTGCTGTGGAGTTGTGCCTTCATTGTGAATTGAGGGATAAAAATAGTTTACCTATTAAGTCACCTAAAAGAAAAATGGCTGGAGGTGTAGTTCAGTGACATACTAGCATGTATGAGGCTCTGGGTTCCATCCCCAGCACACCCGCTGCAAATGGAAAAGGCATGCTTTCAGGTAAGGTTCTCACCAGCACATCCCACTTCTGGATCATTCACCTACTGTTGGTTCCTTGCTTGGTCTGTGGGTGCTATTCACTTGCCCAGGGAGAGGGCCTTCCGTGAAATGACAGGTGTCCTTGGGTGGTGATGCTTTATGCTTCTATCTGTATACATGTACACAGACAGGAAAGGGGATGCTGTGTTCCTGTTACAAACAAAGAAACTGCAACTCTTGACTACTCACATGACATTTAGTCTCATTATATTCTAATTAGTGGTGGAGAACCCAGTTATTTTCTTGTGTCACCCCAAAAATGTGATTGAGATATATGTATAGATCATAAAATTTCCCACTTTAACTATTTTTTTGGGGGGGGCGGGTGCTAGGGATTGAACTCAAGGGCACATGGCCACTAAGCCACATCGACAGCCCTATTTTATGTTTTATTTAGAGACAAGGTCTTATTGAGTTGCTTAGTGCCCCACTTTTTCTGAGGCTGGCTTTGAAGTCGTGATTTCCCTGCCTCAGCCTCCTGAGCCGCTGGGATTATAGGCACGTACCACCACGCCCGGCACTTTAACTGTTTTTAATTATAAAATTCAGTGACATTAACTATACTCACGTTGCTGTGCATGTGAACTGTCCATTTTCAGTACTTTTTCATCATCCCAAACAGTAACTCTGTGCTTCTAAGTAACACCCATTACTCCCTTCCCAATGCTGGGAACCAGCATTCTACTTTCTATCCCTTTATGGTGGATGGATGATGCTGGATCCCTTTTACAAGTGGAATCAGGAAGCATTAGTCTTTTTGTGACTGGCATATTTCACTTAGCATGATGTCTTCAAGGTTCCTCCATGTTGTAGTATTATATAAGAATTTTGATCTTTTTTTTTTTTTAAATCATCCTAACAATTCCAGCTGTTCAGTTCAGTATGCTAAATGTACTCACTGTAGGTGATTAATCAGGCTGAATAGTTTTTCCTTATGTGTATGCGACACCCCCCCACACTCATCCATCAGTGAATATTTGGGTTGTTTCTATCTTTTGTCTATTATATAATGATGCTGCTGTGAATATTGATTCCCCCCTCCATATGCCTGTTTCCTAGACTTCTTTTAATGATTGTAGAACTCTTAATTTAAATGCATTTTTACTTATAAACAAAATTAGTTTCTGGAGCATCATGGATGTCAAAAATAATCTTTAAGCCTAAAAGTCATTAAACCAAATGAGATGGCTTGATATAGGAAAAAGGAATATGAATGGAAAAATTTAGCAAGAAATTGAATTGTTTTTATTTATTCAAGGGAATAACCAGCAAGTGCCTGTCAAGAATGAAGTAGACACTTGTGAAACTTTGAAAAAGGTCGACACAAAGTCACCTTCAGAAAAGAAGATTCACAAAGCTTCTAAAGAAGACGTATGTTCTGAGAAACAGGACATGCCTTCAGTGGAGGTCTGTATTCCTTTTTTAAAATTATTTTTCTTACTAAAAGAAATATAATATGTTTAGGATATAGGATGCAAATATTTATATAAGAAATGTATTTCTTTTCAGTATATTGGAATCAATATTGGGAATTTGGTGTGGGTTTTCGGAAACTTTTATCTTCTAAACAATATGTAGGGATTACTAAAATAATTTTTAGTGAAGCCATATAGCTTTGTCTCCCTGTGGTACCTATTCCTAAGAAAATGGATTAACTCCTTGGTAGCAGCAGTAGAGTAGAACCAGATCAGGATCTCTTCTGTCCATTTGGTACCAATATCCATTATTTTAAGGCATGCTCTTGTTGAGTCACCTTCTTTCTTTGTCCCTATGACTATCATCATCATATTCTCTCCAAAAGGTTAGAAAAGTATTTGTGATATAATAGAAGAAAATTCTCCTGCAGTGAGGCAGAAGCTAAGTTTGTAGATCAAAAGAGCCTACTGTGTACACAAGGAAAGGTTGACATATAAAAATGGATATGCATACATTCTACTTAAATTAACTGAATTTGAAGCGTAAAGAGATGTGAAGACAGGAAAATCAGGAAACACAAACTTAAGCTTGCTTGGCTGCCTCAAACTTCTCCACAGGAACATCTCATGCTAAAAAACAACAGTGAAAATTGGAACAAAGAATATTGTGTCTAGCCAAGTTGACACTCTGATTCAGAGGTGATAGGTAGACATCCTTAAACACAAATGAATTTAAGAATCTTTATTTGTGTGTGTGTGGAGTACTGGGGATTGAACCCAGGGCCTTGTGCTTGCAAGGCAAGCACTCTACCAGCTGAGCTATATCCCCAGCCCTAAAGAGTCTTACTTAAAAAGGCAAGTTAATAAAATTTAGCCAACTGAGATAGAAGTAAAAGTATAGACCCCAAATAAAAGTCTTTTGTGAGGTTTCAGTCCATTTTATTTCCAGAACTAAGACTACACAATGGTCGTTACAACTGCAGAGCAGATTGCATATTATTAAAACTTCAGCAAAAAAGAAAAAGAAACATAGTAATTTCTCCAAAATACAGGAGGTGGGATTGAGAGGTAGATGAAAAAAAGTTTTAATTTTAATCTTTTTTGGTAGAGAGCTATTACTATGTAAAATGAAACTTACAGTTTAAAAGCTTAAGAGAATAACTTAAAGTGTTTTTATAGTCTTGGTAATTTTTTTTTTAAATATTTTTCAGTGTAGTTGGACACAATATCTTTATTTTTATTTATGTATTTTTATGTGGTGCTGAGGATCGAACCCAGGGCCTCACACCTGCTAGGCAAGCGCTCTGCCACTAAGCTACAATCCCAGCCCAGTCTTGGTAATCTTAGATCCTTAAGGAATTATTATATCACATGGAGAAGGAACAGTTATTTGAAAGTTGTCAGTTCCTGTTGACAATTTAAGTTTCTTTCTCTTACTTTAAATTAATATAAAACTGAGCCTTAAGTTTTTATTTAAAAAGTAACACAGGTCCCATGTTATAAATTATTCCCATAATTTCTCCACCATTTGTACATACATATGTTTCTAGAAAAATACTCAAGGTTAACGTAATGTCAGTGGGTAATCTTAGTTATTTCTGAGTGGTGGGAGTTCGGGTGACTTCTTTACCCCTTCTTCATCATCCTCTGTTTCACTTAAACTTATAAGCATGAATCTTTCATTTAAATAAAAATACAAGTGCTGTAAAATAAGTTGCGGACATTCTGCAGTAGGAGTTTGCAGCATGTTGAGAAAGGTGAGAGTTTTCTCTGTAATCAGGCACCAAGATGAGCATATAATAGAGGGCGTGTCAGAGATTCAAAAGCCAGGTCAGGCTGCGGTGGCCCTGGGAAGCCCCTGGAGGAGAAGGAAACTTGTATGGAAAGGAGGAGGAGGAAAGGTGGGCAGGGAAACCACTGAGTCCCAAGGGGGAGGAACAGCTGGACATTGGGGAACAGGTAGCCAGTGAGTCATCTGCCTGTGCAGCCACCCCTACATAGAGTAATAGCCTGGAAGGTCAGAGTCCACCAGATTGTGAAGGCCTTTGAATGCTAATTGAGAGTTGAGATTTTATTCCTTCAGTCTCCATGGGAAACACAAGGAGGTGGGTGGTGTCTATCGAGAACTAGAGAATGGTTGCATGCTACATAATTTTACAATCAGAATTTAAATTTTTTTTTAAGTTTTAGATGGAACACAATACCTTTATTTTATTTATATATTTATTATTTAATGTGGTGCTGAGAATCTAACCCAGTGCCTCACATACGCAAATGCTTTACCACTGAGCCACAACCCAGCCCTCAGTCATAATTTTTAAAAGCACATTTGTGAAAACCAAAAGTGTTTTAGAGGATTTGGCCTAAGAGTTGCCAGTTTTGGACCTTTGATGCAGATCATGGAGAGCTGAATTATGGGGTGGAGGGACAGTGGCTGACCAGTGGCAAATAGCCTGTAGGCTCTGATCTTCCTGACAGGTATCAGTTGGATATCTTTTTAATCAGTTTCACAAAGACTTGACAGATTGCTTCTTACATAGAACTGATGTAGTTGTAAAGTAAGTCTTGACTGAATGTGTGAATAATGCATTTTTGAAAGACCAGTCTGGGTGTTTGGGAATCTGGGGTGGAGAGGGAAGAAATGGATATCAGGTTTCTTCTAGCATGGATGCTGTCACTCTGCTAGGAGACATGCTGTCACCAAGACCTATATTTAGATAGGGACCAGGGTAAAGGATAGGAAGAGTAGAAGAGAGACATTTAGAGAAGAAACCATCAGGAGTTCTTAGCACTTGGTAGCATAAAGGAGAGGAATCACTTTTTTTTACACAGCCATCTGCCATGGCAACGCAAGGTTTAACACCTCAGTGGCTAGAAGATGAGAAATTGGGATTTATGTAATAAGCTTCTTTTCACATCTTTCAGAGCAGTGTTGCATCGTAGGAGCATGGACTTCGCAGCCAGGATTCCTGGGTTTGAATCTAGCTCATGCACACTCACTCTATGAAATGACATTGGGCTAATGTCACAGTGCCCTCCTTTTGTAAAACGAGGATAATGGTTTTCCTATGTCATGGGGTTGTGAGGAGGAAATGAGTTATTATGAGAAGTGCTTCGAATGGCAGGCTGCCAAGTAGTAAGGACCAAAGCAGTGACAGTTATGATGGCAGCCGTTACGTCAGGGGGTGTTACGGGCTTTAGGGCCGGTCATGTAATAGATGCTGGGGGGCTGGAGCTTCCATGACAAGGGAGACTGGAAACTTGAGCTGGGAGAGTTATCCCTGTGGAGGTGAGACCCAAATGTTGCCTGGAGTTCTCTGTTGCATGTGTGGCAAGAAGATGGTGGCCTGACTGACCCTTGGGCAGCCTCAGATTTGCAGATGGGTTGCCGGCACAGGTACAGCAGAGGAACAAAGAGCTCAGCCGAAAGACAAGTAGGGCTTGCTTTCCAGAGCAGAAATAAAGTCATCAGATTCAGGACAGAGGGAGTCAGTGAAGTGAAGATCTGCATCTCTACTCTAATGAGTAGAGATGATTTGCATCAGGCTTGCCCATTGGCCTGCAGCGAAATAGAAATTGGTTCTGAGATTGTATGCCGGGAGGAAAGGGGGTATCAATTACTCCAAGGTCCCCTTGGTCTGAGATGGTCCTGAGGAATGGCAGTACTGCCCCTGGTGCCCATCCGCCACATGTGTGGGCATTATTCCTTCCCTTAAGCCCTTGCCTCAGTCCCAGAGTCTTTCCTGGATCCCAGAGCCACACTTAGCCCTCCAACTTCTGTCCTTTGTGATGCAGTTTTCTTAATTTGTTGAGTTACTTTCTTCCCTGTGTGTCTTTGGCTTTAGCTGCTTGAGGCTGTGGGGCCTTAACCAGCTTTAACCATTTCTCTTAGTCCTTACACTCCGTCCCTAAGGCTATGTAATCCCTCCAGCTGCTGGTCTGTGGGCCTGTTATTACAGACATGTGTACCTAACAGTGGCTGCTGGCTCAGCAGGAAGGATGCCAGCTTGAGGGACGTAGGGGACTCAGATGGACCCTGTGGCCATCCCCAGCCAAGTTTAACCAAGGTGGATTTTCTGGTTCCGAGTTGGGGGCTGTCCTTTGCCATTTCTGTGTGTGTCTGACTCACTCCCTGTTCCTTAGAATTGTACTTTGAGGTCCCCTGAGTGTACTTTCCATTTCATTGTTCGTTTAAAGAAAATCGTTCTCAATAAACACATTCCCAAGTGCAGTGCTCAGTGTTTGTTTTTCTTGCACATTCTTAGGGCCTAACTATGCAGCTTAGAAAATTGTATAAATCTGTCTATAGTATGTGGAGAACATTCTTCCAGATTTATTGGTTGAAGCCCAAGTTTGAGAGCCATAAACTAAATTTTAACCCTCGCTCTGGCTTTTTATTTTCTTTTAAGCAGATTTTCCCCCCTTTAGGAAGGAATCCATGATTCTTATAGAAGCCTAAAAATGTAAGGGGGAAAAAATCTATACAAAATGAACCACTTTTAGAAGTTTGTTTGTTTTCTACGCAAATTTCAAAAAAGTTTCTTACTTGACCATCATAAAATAGTGAGGAAAACAGCTATTATTATGGGTAGGTTTAATGTCATAATTCTTATTTTCTCAAGTGGTTGAATATTAGACAGTTTTATTTTTATTGCGTATATTAACAATCTATCATTTGTGCCAAAATTTAAACCATCCATTATTTAAACCATTCTCCTGCAGGTGGACGTTAAGGTTGTGTCAAGCTTTTGACTTTCATAAGTAACTCTGATGAACAATTTTGTTCATAATTCTTGCCTTCATTCCTGAGAGATCCTTATTTATGGATGTCAAGAAATAGTTAGGCAAGGATATCAGCTCTTTCCCTGGAGCACTGTTGCATTGCCTTGCAGAAAGTTGGTAGCAATTTATGTTCACGTGTGGTGTATGAGAGCGCTGGCTTCATTTTCCTTTCAGCAGCACCAGTTTGTCCAAAAAATATAGAATAAATAATAAATAATAAATAAATAAATAAATAATAAATAATTTTTTTTTATGCTAGGGATTGAACATGGGCCTCATGCACACTAAGTGTGAGCTTTACCACTGACTTGCACCTACAGCCCCTCTTAGCAAAATTATGGTCATATGATAAGTGAGCCAAAGGTTTGGGCTTTCTCTGGATCTTGTTTGTTTGCTTTTTGGTGCTGGGCATTGAGCCCAGGGGCTTATGTGCTAATACATATGCGCCTACCACTGAGCTACACCTCCGTCTCTGAACAGCTAGGTTTGTTTGTCATTTCAGTTTGCATCTCACCAGGGAAAGGTGTAGATGGAAACAGTACCTTTATTTTGTTTATTTTTATGTGGTGCCAGGATCAAACCCAGTGCATTTGTTTTATTTCATGTTTTGTAAAATTCTAATAAAAAAATTAAAGCATCCAAAATCCTACCACTTCAAATAAATTCTATAAATTAAGATGTTAATGTTTAATCAGAGGCTGACACTCTTACAGTATCCTGCTTCCTGTCATTGCCTAGTATTTGCAAATGTAAACACGCATTATAAATGCATTCATGTTTTCTAAAACCAAAATGGAAAGGAGATACAAGCTAGTCTATAATTTGCCTTTTCTAAGAACGTTGTTTTATTGTGAAATATTCTAGATGAACTCATTGTTTTCCTTTTCTATTCCTTTTTTGAATTGATGTTCTGTGTTTTCCACTTTTCTATTGAATGTTAGTGGTTTCCTTTATTTTCTGTAAGAACACTCTGTATGTCAAGGTATTAAGTTAATGTTGTTCATCAAACATTGTGTATCAGAATATTTTATTAGTTTTCCCTTCTGATTTTTATTCACTTCTACTTATATACGTTGGTTTCCAAAATGCCTTTGTGCAGTCAATCTGTGGTTTCTCCTCTTCTTCTTCTTCTTCTTCTTCTTTTTTTTTTTTTTACATATCTATTTTCTAGGTGTAGATGGACACAGTACCTTTATTTTGTTTATTTTTATGTGGTGCCGGAATCAAACCCAGTGCGTTCTCAGTAAGCACTCTACCACTGAGCCACAACCCTGGCCCCACGGTTTCTCTTCTTTGATTTCTTCTTGTGCTTTTAGAAAAATTTAGAGGCTCTTTCTCCACCTTGACATCTTTTAAATGGTCACCTCTGTTAGGTAGTTTATATGGCTCAGCAACGATGATGATAGCAAAGACAGCCTGCTTACTGTGACAGGTAATTTAATCCTTACAGCCTTTTGGGAACTCAGGAGACTGAGCAGAGAGGCCAAGTGACTTGCCCAAGCAACACAGCGAGGAGGCAGGGAGCAGGGTGCCAGCGGGTCGTGTGGCCCTCCAGAAGTGCTCTGAATTGGGTCTCTGTGTGGCTCGTCCCTCTCGTGGTCAGCTCCGCCTCCCCGTGGGAACCTTGCTGACAGAGTCCATCACCCTTCCTCTGCCTCATCTTTCTGGACAAGCCTGCAGCTTCCTTTCCCTGGTTTGCTTTCCTGTCTCTGTCCGCGACGCAGGCCTGTCACCGTCAGCCTGATTCACACTGGGTCCCTCCTCCGTGCCCAGTGCTTTGGGTGCACTCACGTCTCAAAGAAAAAGGTCGTTGTCAGCTGTCGTGCCTCGCAGCCTCTTTCTGCTTTCTTCTCCTCACCCACGATTTCTTTCCCCTGTTAGGTGACTCGTGGGCTTGGCTTCTTGGTCCTTCCACTCATTGCCTCTGAGCCCAGCTTGTCCCTCACTCTTCTCCTCTCCTTGCTGTGAATTCTGTGGTGCTTCTGTCCTACCTCTCAGCCATCCAAAATAGACTTACCCTCCTGTTTGCACAGGGTGACAGTTCCAACCAGATTGATGTGAGAAAGGCAGCCCTTTGTCAGCGAGAGTGACCACAGACCCACTCACACTTAAAAGACTGACCCTTTATTTGTGCCTGACCCTGGAGAAACAGAAAGGCTCAAGAACTTGTGTTTTGACAAGGCTTAGTTGGCCTTGGAGTGAACAATGTGGGTAGGAGAGGGGTGGCCCTCCCCCAAATCCATGAAGGAATGGCACGTGAACAAATGGTGTCTGTCTGTCCTATGTCTGTTGGACATCAAACTTCAGCAATCAGCTTTAGATCCTGTGGGACAGGGTTCTGTGTTTTGGGCTTGTTAGGATTTTAAAACACTTTCAGTGTGTACCTACCAGAAAGAATATTAAAAGAATATAAAGAAGGAAGCAAAAATTCCATCATCTGACCAGGTGGTAGTTAGAACTTCGTGTTATTTCTGACACTTATTTATCAGAGTGTACACGTTGCTTGAACGGATGGAAGATTCTGCTATCCCAGACACAGGCCACGCAGAGAACATAGGTCGTGAAACCTTTCTCTTCTTCCTGTGTGTGTGGTCATGTGTATGCTAGCACTCTGTGGAGTCCTTCTCTGGACCAACCTTTTGGAAAAGAGGGTAAAATGGACCGATCTTTGCTTTTCTTGGAATGTGAGTCCCAGGGGTCAGTAGGAAGAGGACTTGTGCATCTAGGGGGGTTTTCCTCTGCCTTGTGAGGACCTTGGAGGAGGCAGTTTCCTCTTGGAAGGACCAGATACGCTGGAGCCAGGTTTTTAAGCCCTCGGTCCCACTGCACAGGTTCACCGCCTCTCACCTGCGGTCAGGGCCTGTGCTTTAAGGGGGCAGCATGTGGAAGAGAAGTGGGCCTGGCATTTAAAAAAAAAAAAAGAAAAGCACAAATTTTAAAAGTATACACATGTATCTGTAACTTCTCCTATCTACTGTATACGCATCACATGCTGGATTAGGTTTTTTTTTTTATTTTTTATTTTTTAGAACCACATTTCAAAAATATAAAGCATACTTTTTATTTACCCAAGAAACTTAAAACAAGTTTGGGGCCTTCTATTGGGATCTGGCTGTTCTCCTAACATTGATCTGTAAACAACAACAGAAGTGCACAACTTACTCCTCAGCTGAGTTTTAATCCGATGTTTCTTAGTAGTCATTCGTGGGAGTTGCACACACCAGATTAACAGGGGGGGCTGGAGGATTTATTGCTGCTGAAGCCAACAGCAAGCCACCCGCAAATTGCTAGCAGATGTTTTTCCTTTTTAGCCCCTCAGGAATTTTATAGGCAACAGTTTGGTTTTTTTCTTCTCTTTCTTTGGAGCTAGAGGGTGATGGAAAAAGGAGAGAAATGAAAACAAACTAGAGGCCGAGGAACATATGTCTCAGTTGTCACCAGAGCAGGGTCATTTTAAATGCAGATGGAGTTGGTCTTCAAAAATGAAAACAAACACAAGAGGGTTTCTCTTCATGTCGAGGCACTTGAAGCCGCTAAACGCTTTCTTTTTCCTCTTTAGCAAGAGGATCCTTTCAGGAAGAAGAAGCTTCAGGAGAAAAGAGACGGAAATGTGCAAAATCTGAATTGGAATAAAAATCGAACGTGTAGAAAGAACAAGAAGAGGGGTGTCACCCAGGCCTCGAGGTGTGTGGTTTTTACAGTTTCTTTATGATTTTGGTCTGATTTCTTACTTTATGATTGTGCATTGTGCTGTCATCTTTTATTTAAGGTTGGATAGGTGACCAAATATAGTATAGGACTTCAAGATTGAAATGTACTTATAAAATTAACATATTTTCTGATTGTATTTTTATTAAAAGTACCTTACAGGGGCCTTCTTGTTTTATTTATTTATTTATTTTAGTTTGTTCTAATTAGTTGTAGATGTCAGTAGAATGCATTTTGACACATTGTACACAAATGGAGCACAACTTCCCCTTCCTCTGGCTGTACATGGTGCAGGGTAATAATATCCACTTCATTCCACCATCCTTTTCATTTTTCTTTTTTTTTTTTAATTTTTTTATTTTATTTTATATATTACTGGGGATTGAGCCCAGGTATGTTTTACCACTGAGCTATTTTCCCGGCCTTGGGACAGGCTGGCCTTGAACATGTCATCTTTCTGCCTCAGCCCCCCCGAGGAGCTGGAATTACAGATGTACCACCACCACACCCGGCTTCAAAAATTTATTTTAAATCTGTCCTTTACAAAATGCTAAAAGCCAAGAGGTTTTAGGAAAAGGATTAAGCTTTCTTCTGTGCCAAAGCCTCATTCTGTCTGTGAAGTGCAGGAGCATTTGTGAGACAGGTGCAGGAGAAAGCCCTGGACACAGGCAGGGCCACCTGTTCCCAGCCTGGCCACTGGCATAGTAAGATGGACTAGTCACTCCCCCCTACCTCCCCCCCCCCGCCATAACCCTCGCTTCAGTCCTGCATGAGCTGGGTTCTTGTACCTGTGGGAAGCGAGGTGCCCAGGTAGTCAGTAGCTCCTTGATGGCTCCACAGTTGGCAAGGGCACAGCCAGGATTGAAGCTGGCAGTTTGGCACTCACTGGGTTTTGGAAACCTTGCTTCCTTAAGATGCTTAAGTGCCCTGGACTTTCATTTTCTTATCTGTAATATAAGGAGCTGCATGATGTTTTGTGAGAATCCTGTATTGCTGTATTGCTGAGGTTCCAGGAATAGCCTCCTAAATCTAACATATAAATTTCCCATTTAAGGATTTGTTTGAACCAGGTCAGTTGTGTTTGTACACAGTCTAACTCCAAATCTACCCAGTTGAAGTCTGATTTTTTTTTTTCCCCCTAGTGCTAGAGATTGAACCTAGGGCCTTGTGCATACCAGGCGGGCACTCTCAAGTTCTGATTTTTATATCACTCTTCCAGCGCCCCACACCCACACATGGGAAAACCTGTAGCAGACACATCCTCCCTTGCCTCGTCCTCCTTGGGCCCTTGGATGGATCTTTTCAGGTTCCTCCTTGAATGGAGGCTGACCCTTTCAGGACCTCAGTTTTATGTTGGAAATGCTGTTCCAACCCCCTGAGGCCTGTCTTCAGCTGTCCATGGGTGGGCACTGAAGCTGTTCCCCCGGCTTCTTTTTCTTCTGAGTTCTGGCACCTAGAGATTTCTTTTTCTTGTGGTCTCAGATGGGCACTCTGATGTTTTTGTTAAAATTTTTTTCACCAGCAGTTCCACATTTGTATAGGGAAAGGGTTCCACTTTGGGGAGCTCGGGGTCCTGGCCCAGCACTGTGAGAGCTCCCTATCGAGGCCCACGTGCAGTCCTGGATGATGGGCAGGGGGCGGGACAGCTGTAGGGTCGCCTCCAGGCTCAGTTCCACACCCAGCTCACATGGCACCACCACAAAGTGCAGTTATGAAAGAATAAACATAACCCATTATTACTTTGTTAATAACACTGAATTCTAATTATTGATGGGTCATTTTCCTGTTTTAGCCTGGATAATTTAGAGTAAATTATTTGAAAGCTGAAGCATAACATTCTGTAGAAAGGAAGTGAGACACAGATCTTGTATTCTTTTACGTATTTGTTTTTATAAACATATGATTGACCATGAAGTCACTTTAATGTAGTCTGTTTTCCCAGATATGAATTTATAGAAAGAGATGAAAGTAGAGTGCAGTTTTACCAATGAAATGTTATGATACTTTTAAAAGCAGATTTCTGAGATGCTGAAGGAATAATCGGATTGTTAAAAAACAACTTCCAAGGCAGAGTCTGTAACTGCTCATAATGTGTTGAGAACATGATGCTTAAGAAGTAGGTGGTGGTTATGAGTAGCCTGTTGCCTGGACTCTTATTTCTGCCCACATCCTATTTTTACCTTGATCAGAAGAAACCAGCAGAACTGTCTGTGTTGCACCTCACATATTTCATCTTCTTTCCTGCCATCCTGCAGACTCAATACTGTGTACCAAAATTGGAGCATGCAAAAGAGTCCTCTGGTTAATCCCAGAACATTCTCCACATTTCTGTATCAACGTTTATGAAATTGTATTGTAATTCTGCCCTGGAAGAGTTTGTGGTCTAGCAAGAGATTTATTCAACTTCATAATCCATATTAGGGGCGGAGCTGTGCTTTCCTTCCTTATAGACGCTCCACCTCTCTGGACAATACACAGAACATAGTACATGCAACAGACATTTACTAAATGAGTGAGGGGCTGCTTAACACTCAGTACCTTCTGTCAGACACCAGGCAGAGCAGGTTCATCTATTGAAAAGCAAAGGAAACAAGCCAAGAATCCCAAGCCAGCTACTTATCAGTTAACCTTGAATGACCTTGCAGAGTCGTATTTCTCTTATGGTAAACTTTTAAGTAAAATCAATGACTTACAAATTAATTCTAGTCCCCAAATGGCAACCTTGTTAAGAATTTGGTGCTGGGGCTCAAACGCAGGGTTTCAAGCATGCTAAACACAAACCCTACCACAGAGCTGTGCTCCCAGCCCCCGGATCTCTTTCTTACTGATGTCCCCTTCCTTGCTCATCATGTTCTCCAATAGACCCAAAGAGAGGAGGCCTCAACTTCTCCTAGGGTCATACTTTCCTGAGTCTCAGGTCTTAGGGAAGGACGTGTGTGTATACATGAAATGTTGTTTTGTCCCCCGCCCCCCAGGTCTTCTGAACAGAGTGAACTGAAGCTTGGGTGCAGTGATTTTGAGAGGTCTGAGCTGGGCAGTGGCACTGATGTGAGGAGCTGGTGTGTACAGGAGAACCCTGGGGAGAGTTGTAAAGCAGATGCAGAAGCGGCGAGCAGTTCACCTGCTGCACAGAGAGAGGCAGGTATGTAACACATGGAGCTAAGCGGGGCTTTTGGGGACAGTTTCATTTCCTTGAGGTGTCCAGCGAGAGAAGAAGTCCTGCTTTGACGGACACTTGACAGGCATTGTGGCTAACTAAGGTCCAAATAGGATGCTGTCAGGGTGGCACTAGAGAGCTAGGATTCTGTTGAGCCTGGGCAGGCCTCTAGTGTTGCCCCCCTCCATCAAAATAAAGAAACAACAACAAAACCCGTGGCCATTCTCATCTGTCCTCATACGTACTGCTGCAGGAGCAAGGATTGCTTGTTCTAGACAGGGACACCCTTGGTGGAAGGGGGGAGTATCCAGTTGAGAGAGTGCCACTGCTACTCTTGAGCCAGACAGTTTCCAAAGAGCCAAGTCACTGCCCCACCCAAGGGCTGGTAGGCAGGACCCCCAAGTGGGAGATAGAGGGGCACCCAGTGCTAGGACCAGGGTAGGATTGAGGACAGCGGGGCTGGAGCACTGAACTTGGCAGTGCCGGATGAGTATAAGGTGGTAGGGGATTCACAGTCCTCTCAGCCCACCTGAGCTCACAGTGCACGCTCCAGCCACCGCAGTTAACTGGACTATCCCTGTCTTTTATTTTTTCATTCTTTTGACAGTTACACTGCTTTCTGTGTG